AGGAACCCACTTAGGTGGCACCAATCTTGACTTCCAGATGGAACAGTACATCTGTAAAAGTAAAAGTGATGGCATCTACAACATAAATCTGAAGAGGACCTGGGAGAAGCTTCTGCTGACAGCTCATGCCACCGTTGCCACTGAAAGCGCTGCAGATGTCAGTGTTATATCCTCCAGGAATACTGGCCAGAGGGCCGTGCTGAAGTTTGCTGCTGCTACTGGAGTCACTCCAATTGTTGGCCACTTCATTCCTGGAACCTTCACTAACCAGATCCAGGCAGCTTTCTGGAAGCCATGGCTTCTTGTGGTTACTGACCCCAGGGCTGACCACCAGCCTCTCACAGAGGCATCTTACGTTAACTTACCTACCACTGCACTGTAACACAGATTCTCCTCTGCACTATGTGGACATTGCCATCCCATGCAACAACAAGGGAGCTCACTCAGTGGGTTTGATGTGGTGGATACCGGCTCGGGAAGTTCTGTGCATGCGTGGCACCATTTCCCGTGAACACCCGTGGGAGGTCATGCCTGATCTCTACTTCTACAGAGATCCTGAAGAGATTAAAAAAGAAGAGCTGGCTGCTGCTGAAGAGGCTCTGACCAAGGAGGAATTTCAGGGTGAATGGACTGCTTCAGCTCCTGAGTTCACTGCTACTCAGCCCGAGGTTGCAGACTGGTCTGAAGGCGTGCAGGTGCCCTCTGTGACTATTCAGCAGTTCCCTACTGAAGACTGGAGTGCTCAGCCTTCCATGGAAGACTGGTCTGAGCTTCCAGTCTCAGGTCACTGAATGGGTAAAAACAACCACTGAATGGTCTTAAGTTGCCCTTGCATGGGCTCTTAAGCAATATGGAAATAAGGTTAATGGAAAATAAATACCAGTTTCTAAAAAAAAAAAAAAAAGGTCTGAAGCACAAAAAAATCCCAAAATATGCATATAGCACATGAATGATTATAAATATTTATGAAAAATAAAGTTTAAAGAGAGAGAACATCTTTATAGGAAAATAATAAAAATTTTATTTGAAATGTCATCTTAAATAATTAAAAACTAATTAAAATTAATTTAACTTTACATTAACTATAACAAAGTTTAGCTGATCATTGCAACTGAGCACAACGCCTTCAACTGAACAAAGACTGAATCAAGTAATTTTTCTAACATAATTGGATAAAACCTCCAATCCTAATTTGTGGTTAACTTTAGTGGCAAAACCGTAAACAGGATGCTTTTGGCATGAATGTTTTCATTTTTCCAAAGCCTTCTCTTAGTCTTTGATACTTAAATCATTCTCCTAGGAAGAAATACAGATTCATTTCACCTTGCTATTGATTTGGACGGTTGTCCACAAACCTAAGAAATTGCTCCCTAATGCAATTTCTTAAAAAGGAATGTCTTCACTTGTTGAGGGAGAACATTTACAGCTAGATAATCTGCCCACACTAAGAGACCACAGGTTCAGTAAAGAGTGGATCTGGCCACTAATCCCAGAAATTACTCCCTCATTACTGAGGAAACTTATAAAGAAAATAGAAACAATCTCCAGGCAATGCTACTTCAGAACCAAGTGAGGAGGCCATAGAACTGAGATGTTGCTTAAGTAACATGTCTCAGAATGTGGCAAATACTTGATGATACCTGTTAATGTGAATTTTTCACATTTTCACCTGGATGCAAATCTGAAAGTTGAAGTTTAAGATCATTTGTGCCCTTAAAGCAGACTATACCTGGGCGACTGTGGCAGGAATGCCCAGGAGCCCCAGGCAGGCATTAAGATGGTATAACGACTTGGGGATGAAGAGGAGGTAAGGAGAGCCCTAGTTGGTTTTTCTTAAGTATCAAAAAGACGACTAGAAAAAAAAGTGCCTGCCTGTTTTGAGGTTGGAAATCTTAATTCAAATCTTAATTCAACAAGGAGTTGAATGCAAGCAAACACTCCTTAGACCAGTTCAGAAAAGCTGGAACTGCTTAAATTGAAACCCTCACAGCTGAATCAGAAAGGATTGTGAATGTTGATTGGATATTTGATTATATTAAGGAATTATTCATTTTTATGTATGATAATGGCATCATAATTACATTTTCCTAAGTACATTTCATTTAGAGATATTCAAAAGAATTTTTGAATGAAATGATATGATGTGTAAGATTTTATCTTAAATAATCTGGGGACAGGGGGTTGGCCATTGTTGCTATTACTGAAGCTGAATGATAGGTACATGTGGATTCATTATACTAGTCTCTATTTTTGTATATTTAAAATTTTCCATGAAAAAACACAACTGAGGCACATTTTACTTCTACTTTTTCATTTATTGAAGCTGGTCTTAGAAAGGTAGGAGAAGGAAGCCAAAGGCAAACTGTGAGACACTTGGAAGACACTAACCAAAGTTCTAATGGCCAGAGTTGAGAAGAACAAAGCAAAATAAAAAGCATTTTTGAGGCTGCCCAACAGGCCTTCAGGAATCTTGGTACAATAGGACAGGAGTTAGGAATAAGTTAAAGTGCAGGCAGAACACAAAAAATAACAGTGGCTTAAAACGGAAAGTGTTTATTTTTTTTTAAGTTTTGTTTTTAATTGACAAATAATTGTATATATTTGTGGGGTACTGCATGATGTTCTGATACATGTATACTTTGTGGAATGATCAAATCAGGCTAATTAACATATTCATCACCTCAAATATTTAGCATTTATTTTTGCTTAGATATAGAATACATTTTTTTAACTTTTATTTTAAGTTCAGGGGTACATGCACAGGTTTGTTATGCAGGTAAACTAGCCTCCTGGGGTTTCTTCATCACATTATCGAAGATGGAGGTAAGTGTCCCAGGGCTGTCAGAGTGGCCCTGTAGCCCTCAGGGATCCCAGTAGCCTTCAGCAGTGCAGGCTCATTCCAGTTCACTGTTTTCCCAGACCCTTGGGCAGCCCCTCATCCCTGTGGCCCAATCGTCTGCACTACAGGCAGCAGGGGTGCAGGAAGAGACCAAAAAGTAGGCAAGGAGGAAGAACCAGCTGTCCCTTAAGGGAGGTTCCTAGAAGCTGCCATGCTAAGGGCTGAGATAGATGCATGCAGCATCTATACGTACATTTTAGAGGCACAACAGAATCTGCCACCTACGAGAAGCAACAGCATTCCACTAAATTCTAAGCCAATATTTGCAGGTTGCCCAAAGACCTCTTAAGGGGCAGAACATCTCGTCATTTTGCTTCCTTTGAAAAGAGCAAGGCCTGCACAAGAGCCTTTGTCTTCAGTCAGTTTCCTTTTTTTTTTTTTTTTTTTTAGCATACTGTATTTCTGTCATTATATCTTTGGGGCATCACCACATTGGCTTCCACAATGGTTGAACTAATTTACACCCCCACCAACAGTATATAAGCACTCCTTTTTCTCCACAACCTCACCAGCATCTGTTACTTTTTGATGTTTTAATAATAGCCATTCTGACTGGTGTGAGATGGTATGTCATTGTGGTTTTGATTTGCATTTCTCTAATAATCATTGATGTTGAGCTTATTTTCATCTGCTTGTTGGCCACATGGATGTCTTCTCTAGAAAAACTTCTGTTAGTTTCCTTTGCCACTTTCTAATGGTTGTTTGTTTTTTTCTTGTACACTTAAGTTCCTTATAGATGCTGGATATTAGACCTTTGTCAGATGCATAGCTTGCAAAACTTTGCTCTCATTCTTTAGGTTGCCTGTTCACTCTGTTGATAGTTTCTTTTGCTGTGCAGAAGCTCTTTAGCTTAATTTGATCCCATTTGTCCATTTTTGCTTTCGTTGCAATTGCTTCTCATCATCTTTATCATGAACTCTTTGCCCATGCCTATGTCCTGAATGGTATTGCCTAGATTGTCTTCCAAGGTTTTTATAGTTTGGGATTTTACATTTAAATCTTTCATCTATATTGAGTTGATTTTTGTATGTGATGTAAGGAATGGGTCTGGTTTCAATCTTCTGCATATGGCTAGCCAGTTATCCCAGTACTATTTATTGAAAAAGGAATCCTTTCTCCATTGCTTGCTTTTGTCAGGTTTGTCAAAGATCAAATAGTTGTGGGTATGTGGTCTTGTTTCTGGGTTCTCTAATCTGTTCCATTGGTCTATATGTCTGTTTTTGTACCAGTACCATGCTGTTTTGGTACTGACACAAACTATACTACTGTAGCCTTGTAGTGTAGTTTGAAGTCGGGTATTGTGATGTCTCCAGCTTTGTTCTTTTTGCTTAGCCTTGGCTAAAAAATAGCCTTGGCTATTCAGGTTTTTTTGGTTCCATATGAATTTCAAAATAGTTTTGTCTAGTTCTGTGAGGAGTCTCAGTGGTAGTTTAATAGGAATAGCATTGAATCTGTGAATTGCTTTGGACAGTACGGCCATTTTAACAATATTGATTCTTCCTTTTCATGAGCATGGAATGTTTTTCCATTTGTTTGTGTCATCTCTGATTTCTTTAAACAGTGGTTTGTAGTTCTCATAGAGATCTTTCACCTCCCTTAATTAGCTGTATTCCTAGGTATTTTATTCTTTTTGTGGCAATTGTGAATGGGAGTTCATTCCTGATTTGGCTGTCAGCTTGACTCTTGTTAGTATACAAGAATGCTAGCGATTTTTGTACATTTATTTTGTATCCTGAAACTTTGTCCAGTGTTAGGGAAGGGCAATGAGTCCCCTGAAATAAAGTTGTAGAGATCAAACGAGAATAAGAAGCAGAAAATGGCTATCTCCCTACTCCCAATGAAGTTGGAGAGAGAAAGGAAATGACAATTCTGGGTCTCTCTAGAAAAGAAGTCAAAGGCAGATTTCAGAATATGCTCAGACCCCAGTCCTTTTGGGGCAGTTGTAATCTCAGAAGTGGCTGACTCAGTAAATCCGAAAAAATACAACCCTAAGAGACCTGAATAGTTTGAAAAGGAGTCATCATGAAAGTATAAGGATGAGATATTGGAAATCACAGTCTGGGACCATGTAGATGTGGTGGAAGAAGAGGGGCACCAACTTCAGACTTGATGTGAGAGACAGACCAAACAGCATAAACACGAACTCATCCAATGCTTTATAAATGTATTTGCAAGAAAATGTAAATTCTACAAATAAAAAATAAATCCAAAGCAACCTTCAAAACAATTTTTGATGAATATGTGTTAGAGTTAACATGGTTGATAAGAATTCTTATAAATCACAATAGTCCAATTATTGAGATGGGTAAATGACACTTCCCATAAGAATATGAATCACCATTAACAATACATTTTGGTCAAAGTTCTTTGTCTTTTGAGAAACTGTATGTGGCTGTGTTTCAAAAAAAAAAAAAAAAAAAAAAATGAAAAAACTTAGTTCTTCCCCAGTACCTATTTGTCTCTCTGAAATTTCATGCCATATAAACAAAATAACTCACACTGGCTGTTTAATTTTTCTTCCTCCTCAGACATTATCAGCAATTACCCAAAATAGCTTGAAATAATGAAAAAGATATTGTCTATCCACAAAACCTAATATCTACTTTACTTACAATCTAATATTTCTCTACTTGTTATTTACTATAAGACGAAGCCATAGTATTGTCTAATTACCACAGGTGTTTGACTGACATACAATTATCCCCATCTAGAGACCAGAAAACTGAGGCTTAGAGTACTTAATAACATCCCCAAAAACCCCAGTTACCTAGCTACAAATTCTACAAAATTTACCCCAAAAATCCAAAAATTGTTTTGCTACAAAGCCTACAAAATCTACTTTAAAAATTTACCAAGTCTTTGCACTATAGCACATTATTCCTTCCTCAGTCATGCTGACCTTTCTCAGGCCAAAATTCTCTTTCACCTCTTAGAAAGCTTCTAAGAAGGGCTGATTTTCTCATGGGCAGATGGTCAGGACGTTGCCACTCTCCCCTTCTCCCAAGAGCTCAAGACAGAAGAATGGACGCAAAGGCTCCAAAGAGAAGAAAGAATCATGGGTATAGATGTGGGCATTATTGTCAACATCGAAAAACTGGATTTCTTCAAAGTCAACATCCAGGAAAATTCCCACACGACGAAGGCTAGGGCTTGCAGGAATTCTCTCCAGGTCGGTGTTAGCATGGATTGCTCCTGCCTCCATGCTAATGATCCAGAAGCCATGCTCAGGGGATAAATCACTGCTGTTTCTGTCAGCCGACTCCTTGCAGACGCCCAGGGACCACGACTTCACCTCTCCCACTGTAACCTCCCAGTAATGTCGGCCGGAGGAGAAGCAGGGAGTACCCAGGACACAGGTCAGCCTAGGATCTTTTGTCAGGTCGTGGTGGATCTTCCCAGGCTGAGCGCTTCTTAGATCACTGGAGAAGACAAGGAGGGAGCTGGCAGTGGCTGCATCCAGGGTCACATCTTCCCGAAAACGCTGGAGCTCCTCCCTCATGTGCAGAGTTTGCTCCAGTCGGTTATCATGCTGCTTGGTGATAAGTGCTATGGCTCTCACTTGCCATTCTTCCAAAGGAGGTGCCTTCACCACATCTCGACACAAGGGGCACATCACTCTAAAATCATGGTTTTCTAGGATCCAATTCTGGATGCAATCAAAGCAAAAAATGTGTGCACAAGAGAGAGAAATGGGACAGGAGAAAAAATCCAGGCAAACTGGACAGGACAACTCTGCTTGCAGGTTTTGGGCCATGGTACTTAAGGGTTACTCCTTAGCCGTGAAGCAGACTGAAATGATCCTTTATTGGCTTCTGGAAGCACTTGGGAGCTCTTCAATACTCTAAATCCAAGATTAAATAACATAAATTAATAAATAAGTTATTGGCAAAAATGAATTACATTATGTAATAAATAACAATAAATTTATTAACTAAGAAATTAAGAATAACAAAAATTAAATATTATTTCTGTAGCTTGTGTATGAAAGTGACATTAAATTGCTAGAGAATCACAATAATGTAGTCATGGTGATAAAAATGATTTCAAAACTCTCCAAACTCTAGATAATCACAAGATAGGAATAGGGCAGTGGAAACTGTCTTTTCAGACAGTGCAGCTTACCTAGTCTGAAGACTTCCAGGTGATGTGTTGGTTGCTCTGGCCAAAGTTTCTTCTAGTGGGGGCTGAATTCAAGTGGGTCTTTAATAGAATCTCAGTATAGTCTCCACTCAGTATTTCTTTGTAGATCACCTGCAGTTCAGGAAAAAGAATTCATGTCTAAATTCAATCATGAAAATAAAGCCAATTCTACATTAATCGTCACAGAAAAGTGACTCTAAGGAACCCTCAGAATTTCCAGAAAAATTACATGTGAGTAAAGCCAGCAAAATCCACTGCAAAATGAGATGCCCAATCAAGTTTAAGGACAAAGTGTTATTAGATGAAATGCTTTAAAGCACCCTAAGAAAACTAATTAAGGCTTGAATTAATGTGAATAAAAATATAATTGTCATAAATTTCTCCAAAAAATCACGCCAATACAAACCAAAAAGATGTTCCAGACAAGGAAGATGCCCTCCAGTTACCCCAACTGCTCCCAAAGCTTGAGAGCCTCTGGTGCTCCCAGAGGACTTCCCACCATGACTGTCATTCTTTGAGTGAGCTGTCTCTGACATGCTGGGCACAGCATATGGGACCTGGCTAGACCCATGACCCAAAGACAGCCTCACAAAGCTGGACAGCACCTTTGAGATGATATGAACAGAGGACTATTCTCCAATAAGAGCTTACACTGAGCAGTAACTAGCAGAACTTCTTACCAAGAACCCACAAATCACACATTCAGTGGTGACGGTAGTAACAGAATGAGGGACAGAAAGAGGAGCAGCATCAACATTACCAGAGAGAGGAAGCGAACACCACTGAGGCCAGCCTGAGTTACTAGAACTGTCCTACATCCCAGAATATAATCTCTAATCTCTTTCCAACAAATACTTATTGAGACCCTTCTGTGCTCTTGGCCTCAACTGGACTCTGGAAACACAAACGTGTGTAATAGACAGGGTATCTGCCCACATAAAACTTTGTCTTCCAAGTCCTGATCAGCATTCCAATCTGATGGTGCCTGGCTGGCAGACAGAGATTACCTCTTTCTTAAACTCTGTTATCTTTTTCAATTTAATGGGAAATTTAACATGGTGCTGGAAATCTAATCGTCTAACCCACCTTGGAATGTATCTAAGAAAACAATTTTACAAAAAAAAAAAATGCTACACTTATTAACAAGTTGTTCATTGCAGTGTTAACTACCATCCAAAATGATCAGGAACAATCGAATTATCTAACAATAATAAAATTATTCAGTTAATTATGACACAACTACTAAAAGTGGTCAAGTATATGTAAGTGAAAACCCGAAGCAAAGTCCTTCTTTTGTTGTTGTTTTTGTTTTTGTTGAGACAGAGTCTTGCTCTGTCCCCCAGGCTGGGGTGCAGTGGCACGATCTCGGCCCACTGCAAGCTCTGCCTCCCCGGTTCAAGCAATTCTCCTTCCTCGGCCTCCGGCTGAGTTTTGTATTTTTAGTAGAGACGGGGTTTCACCATGTTGGCCAGGCTGGTCTCCTGACCTCGTGATCCACCCACCTCAGCCTCCCAAAGTGCAGGCACGAGCCACAGCGCCCCGCCAAAAACCCAGAATTCTTTAAGAAATATTCTGAAAATAAAAAGAAACTATTTTAAAACAGCAAATCCAGTGTAGTTGAAAACACACAAAAACACAAGTTCGTGGCCGGGTGCGGTGGCTCACGCCTGTAATCCCAGCACTTTGGGAGGCCAAGGCGGGCAGATCACGAGGTCAGGAGATCAAGATCATTCTGGCTAACATGGTGGAACCCCGCCTCTACTAAAAAATACAAAAAATTAGCCGGGCGTGGTGGCGGGTGCCTGGAGTCCCAGCTACTCGGGAGGCTGAGGCAGGAGAATGGCGGGAACCCGGGAGGCGGATGTGGCAGTGAGCCGAGATCGCGCCACTTTACTCCAGCCTGGGCGACAGAGCGAGACTCCGTCTCAAGGAAAAAAAAAAAAATACAAGTTCATGCAAAGAGCGACCTGAGGTTCATATGTAAAAATTTAAACGGCAATGTTATAGTTCAAGGTGAAGAAAGTTCCCTGGCACAGGAAAAAACTAGTTTTTTCTTCTCTAAAATAAATAGTTAAAGGTATTTGAAAACACCAGTTTGTAGCCAAAGAGAGAATAGGACATTGGAAATAGCTTAAACAGAAGGCGTAACTTACCTTGACTTGGAGACTTCCAGCAGAAGTCTGAAAGTTCCGAAGCCAGCACCTCTACCTCTACAGACGTCTGCTCCTCTCTGAGTTTCAGCGCCGAGACACCGGCATTTTTATAGTGCCTGGAAAACATTCTCCAACCAACCAGAGTCAGAGGCTCCGCCCCAAAGGTTGTACCACCCTAATCTGAGTAAACTCATCAACCCACCCTTCCGTTTATGACGATGATATTAAAACACGCTTAAAATTTTATAGTAAAACAATTCAAAATTTCTTAATAACTCTCTGAATTAAAGTGAATCTACTGCCATCTGCTCTTGTCTCTAATTTCAGAACTCAACTTTAAAAAGCAAAATGTGTTGGAGATCAAATACAGAAATGCACTGTTGAAACCTAATCACCTCATGGCTAATGTAATCATTGGTGTTCTTATTCCTGATATAATCATGAGTGGACAGGATCTACAACAGTTTTCATGTCCTTTGATTCAACAATTCTACTTTTAGGGGTACTTACTGGACAGCATAAGAAAGATGGCAGCCAGGCAAGGCTATTGTCCTGTAATTATTAATAATTCCATTTTTTACTCTCAAAAGTGTTATTGGATGAACAGTAAATTTTATGGTGTCTGTATTCAGAGCAGAAGGAGCAGTAAAAGTCACAATAGAGGAAAGCTAAGACACAAACTTCAAAAAAGGTATTTGGAGGGTGAATGAAGTCCCATTGCAGAGAGGATCGCTGGAATATACGTTTTCCCCGAGATAACCTGCATTCTAAATAACCTCTCCTTTCTCAGGCTTCCTGTTCTGCAAGGCCGAATACACAGCTTACACAGCTTTTACTTCATTTTTACCTGGTGCTATCTCCATTTCTGTGAGTTAAATACTTGCAGGAGCGGGTCTCAAGCTTTTTTTTTTTTTTTTTTTTTTTTTTTTGGTGACACAGTCTTGCTCTGTCTCCCAGGTTGGAGTGCAGTGGCTTGATCTTGGCTCACTGCAACCTCCAACTCTCAGGTTCAAGTGATTCTCGTGCCTCAGCCTCCCCAGTAGCTGGGACTACAGGAGGCCGAGGTGGGCAGATCACATAAGGTTAGGAGCTCAAACTTTTAAAATTGTAATCTCAAGACGCTTTAAACTCTTTTTAAAAATCATTCAGCAAAAATATCCTTTATTTCTTCCATTTTTATTTTTATTTTAATCTCAAGAATCCTTACACTCTCTTTTTTATTCAAAAATATCATTTTTTCTTTCATTTTATATTGAAATAATTTTAGACACAGAAAATTTGTAGGAATAGTATAAACAGATGTATTCTTTACCCAGAATTACCATTTATTTTTTAATTGTCTGATGTATGTATACACTGTGAAATGATTAAATTAAACCAATTAACATATCTGTCACTTCACATACTTATCATTTTGTCATAAGAATATTCAAAATCTATTCTCTTAGCAATTTTTAGGTATGCTATACATTATCATTAATTATATCCACCATGATGTACAATGGATCTCCAAAGTATATTCCTTCTGTCTGCCTGAAAATTTTGTACCCTTTAACCAACATCTCCCCCATTTCAGTCTTCTTTCTATCCCAGTGCCCGGTAGCCACGATTCTAATCCGTGCTTCCATGAGTTCAATTTTTTTATATTTTTTTCCATTCCACATATAGGTGAAATCATGCAGTATTTGCTTTCGGTGCCAGCTTATTTCACTCAACATAATGTCCTCCAGGTTCCATGTTGTTGAAAATGATAGCATTTCTTACGACTCGATAGTATTCCGTCGTGTACATGTACCATGTTTTCTTTATGTATTCATCCATTGAGGAATATCCTGATTCTTTATGCATTCATCATTGATGAATATAGGTTGATTCCATATCTTGGTTATTGTGAATAATGCTGTTATGAACATAGGAGAGCAGATATCTTTTCAATGTACTGATTTTCTTTTCTTTGGTTATATATCCAGAAGTAGAATTGCTAGATCACATGGTAGCTCTATTTTTAGTTTTTTGAAGCGCCCCCATACTAGTTTTCGTAATAGCTGTGCTAATTTACATTCCCACCAATGGTGTACAAGGTTTCTCTTTTCTTCATATCTTTGCCAGCATTTGTTATCTTTTCTCTTTCTTAATTTTATTTTTATTTTTTTTCTCATGCCTGTAATCCCAGCACTTTGGGAGGCCAAGGCGGGTGAATCTCAAGGTCAGGAGTTCAAGACCAGCCTGGCCAAGATGCCAAAATCCCATCTCTACTAAAAATACAAAAATTAGCCAGGTGTGGTGGCGGGCACCTGTAATTCCAGCTACTCATGAGGCTGAGGCAGAGAATTGCTTGAACCTGGGAGGTGGAGGTTGCAGTGAGCCAAGGTCATTCCACTGCACTCCAACCTGGGAGACAGAGCGAGACTCCGTCTCAAAAAAATAAAAATAAAAATTATTCTTACAGGCGTAAGGTGCTATCATTTGCACTCTTATACATAAATGAGAACTCCAAAAAGCTTTTTGTTCATATGAATTATATTTCTTCGTATTTACAATATTAGAAATTCAAACTGAGAATTTTTTAAAGCTCTATTTCACTAATTAAAATAAAATCATTACATTAACATAAATAATATAGTTTTATTTAAACAAATAACTATTTTCTAAAACAAAAACACTTACTTAGAAGAGTTCCATTGTTTTGAATGTTTGCAAACCTCTGTAATTTTTGCTTAATAAAACACATCTGGATTCTTACATCTACTTTTGCTGAACCTGTTGTCATACGTTGCTTTGATTTAAATATGTGGGAAAAAATGGGGCTTCCCACAGAAGTTTAGTTGGAAAAGGGAGGATTCTGCAGATTCCCTAAAAGTGTCTCAGGGACCTCCAGGACCTCTCTAACCTATTCACAGATCATTGCTCTACTACAAATTCTATAACTCTAAGTGACAGCAGCAAATCTTAGTTCCTTCATAACCAAAAACTCTAATGATGCATCCAGCCATCTTTTGGTTTGGCTTCTGCCATCTCAAAACTAATACATATGATATGGCTAAATATGGAACATTTTCTCACCTTTTTCCAATAATGATGAGGTTTTTTCACTTTTTCATTTAATTTATTTAACTGCAGTTATGATTCCAAATCAGGTTTTTCACTATCACTGAATAACACTTACTAGGCCCTCAACAGATGTTTGATAATAACAAAAAAGCATCATTTCTTATTGATTTTTACATTTTTCAGCCAGCTCTGACTGTGACCTGACCATACACTAACTTCATGCTACTAAGCTTTTGTCTGCCAGGAGAAATAAATTTTTTTAACAGAAATACTTGCTTTGATTCCCAGATTCTCCATTACTACAGGAATACTGAATTCAGAGAGAAGCATCATTTTTTAAAATTTTCAAGTGCTGGAAATATTGGAAGCCAGTTATCTGTGATATCTTAATACTCTCATGACAACATATCAAAAATGTGCATGAAAATTTTTTTAATTTTTAGAATAATTTTTAATTATCATTAATGCTTCCATGAGTTAAGATTAAATCACAAATTAATTTTGCTTCCATAGCTTCCTGATTAAAAAAGAAATCAACTTTCACACACGCTAATTAGATAAGATGAAGCCACTAGTGGGGAGGAGGGAATAATCAGATCTGTCAGGAATCTAAGATACTTACAAGCGGATGATATGTTTGCTCAAAACACAGTTTGCATTTTTCAAAAGGCAGCAGCTGTAGTGGGGCAGCTTTTCACAATTAGCTTCCATCCCCTGGTGTGGGACAGGTGCTGGCTTGCAACCTCCTCCTCTCTCTAACCCATGTCCTCTCCTCTCTACTGCCTGGTTATACATTAAAGGGAACCCTTCCGTCTATCTCAAAGAAGATAGCGGGCACCTCTCTGAATTATTAATGCCATCAAAGCCTACTAATGGAGTTCCCTGGCTCTTCTCTTCAAAAGGAGCTGGTTTTTGCAGATTTGGTGAATTTCATGAAGAGAATATTTTTGGCACTTAGGATATGTAGAATGCTCCACTTCCACACTTGTTTTAGAGGACAGACTATAGTAAAAACCAGAGATGAGATGATTAGACTCCATAATTACATATTTGATAACAAGTAGTTCCTACTATAGTTCTATTAATGAACTCCCTTATTTTTGTTCCTCTAAATTTTTTGTCAAACATATTGAGAAAAAAAATTGAATAATGTTCATGCATTTTATGCACATGGTGTGCTCATAGCTGTATAAGAACTGACAACAGATTTCCACATCTACAGCACGTTATCTGCAAGAATAATTTGCTCTCACCTGAGTCCCTATGTAAATTTCAACCACCGTAAACCACTGTGGAATAAATGAGTAGTGCTCAGTTACCCAAGTGGGCCCACCCTTCTTTCACTGGTAGGTCCCAGACTCCAAGCAGGGGCCAGAGGGGGGCAGTGTGAATCCAAGGGAATTTCAGGAGTGCAGAATACGGACACACAAGCGACCATGCCACTTGAGCTCTTTACATTTGTGGTTTCTAGAGCCAAATACAAGTGTCAGATTATGCATACATTCTCTCCTCTAGTTTAGGGCTTTCGGAACATTTTTGTGTGAGTGAGGAAATGTGAATCAAAATAAGCTTCCTTTCCACCCAGTTCTCTGGCGTTCCATGTGTTATCAAATGCACACTATGAATCTCTCAAAATGGCTGGAGCGCCACCCCCACTCTGGGATGCAAGATACATCAAGGCAAGCTGTCTACAGTCAGTCCCACCTGGGAGCATCAGCCCCTGGGGGCTGGGAGACCTGGACGCAAGCAGAGATCCAGGCTCACAGTAACTTCCTCCTCCAACTGATTGATCCTCATTGGTGGTTGCCCATTACTCTCCAGATAAGAACCCAAATCCCTAACAGGTTCTCCTGGCCCTGGCCTTGCTCCTTTCCAGCCTCATATTCTGAAATTCAGATACAAAGCCTCCTTTCAATCCTTTCTGGTGCCCTTCTTAATCCAGGATAGGTGAATTCTCTCTGATTGGAAACATCCCCAGCCAGCCACCCGACTAACACCTACTCATCTTTCAGATATATCTGGGGCAT